GTTGGGGAGAGATAGCATGGGGAGAAATGCCAGATATAGGTGATGGGGAGGAAGGCAGCAAATCACACTGCCATGTGTGTACCTATGCAACAATCTTGCATGTTCTTCACATGTACCCCCAAATCTAAAATGCAATTTAAAAAAATCCCCAAAGTCCCCTCCAGCTCTGAGCCACTAATGAGCAGAAGAGCTGGAAGGACCACCCCAAAGCCAGAAGTCAGAAATTTGGACTCCTACGTGCAATGTTGGAAGTTAATTTGAAAATAAAATTGTTTTTTTCCTTTTAAACAAGTGTGAGACCAACAAAATGTGATCTGTGGACTGTTTACTTGAAACTTCTACCCGATACTATGTATGATTTTCTCTGCAAGTTCAGGCTCAGACAGGACTTTGCTTTCTTCATCTACAAAATGTTGGGGTGGCAGAGGGGTACATGGCACTGATACTAGCCTTCTACTTCAAAATGTGTACCCTTGGCCGGATGTGTAAAACAGGCACGAGGAAATAAAACACGAAGCATGGTAAGCATATAGGACATTTCTTGGGTCTCTCTGATTGATGGTCCCATGTGTCTGTGCAGGAGGTACAGAGACCTTCCAGGTGATGACTGAAACAGAAGAGCTCACATGCACACTCAGTCTTGGGTGTGCTGAGGCCTGGCCACAGCTAAGACTAGGGCCAGGGTGCTGCTCTGAAGCAGAGCATTTTCTTGAGCCAGCTCCATTTCCCCCGTTTCCTCCCTCCATTTCCCTCCCTGCCCCACTGTGGCCGAAGTGACAAGCACGCGCCTGGGAATGCAATAAGCACATGGGGTGCCCCGGCAGAGTTGACACCGCTGTTTCTGCAAGGCTGGCCCATGAGCCCCTTCAGGACTGGGGGCGGTGGCACACTCTTGTCAGGGCCCTACTCTGCTGCTCCTAGCTGGAGTCTCTGAGGGTGGGGCTTGGGCTCCACATGCTATAAGATCTCTCAGTGGACTCCTAGGTGCCCTAACCATCGGGTCCTCACCCATCCAAACTCATCAGTGGGACTAGAAAAGTCCCTTTGTTTTCTTATTTTTTTTCCCTCATATTTCCAATCAGGTAGACTTGTTAATGTAAGCCAGGAGCAGATTTTTAGGCTTAGAGATGAAATGCACAATGAATGGGTCCTTCTTAGAATTCACTTTTGCGATGACTTGGGGGAGTATGAGGCCCTGGGTAGCACTGGCTGGGGCCCCTCAGCACCTCTCTGTTGGGGTCCTGGGTGATGACTGAGCTGTGTGGTCTCAGGCGTATGATTTAACTTCTCTGAACCTCAAGTGTCCACATTTGTAAAAGAGTAGTAAGAGCACTGACTTCCTAGGCTCCACCCGGGGTGGGATACCATTTCCCTTCCTCACTCTCATCTTCCTTCTGTACTAGAGTAGCCTTGCGGACCTGTGTCCTCGGGAGATAGATGACTCACTGTCCACAGGAAAGGCAGCTTTTCCACCCAGTGACCTCCCGTGACCAGAATATCTTGGCATTCGCAAGTGATGACCTGAAAAGCTACGCCATAGAGCTCAATTACATTCTCAGTTCTTTTGCCACACCTCATTTCCTCTCCTGCTTCATTTTCTGTCTTAAATGTTAGACTTAACAACTTCAGCTCTGGGAGGGATTGTGGAGGTCACTGGATCCCATTCCCATGCTTTAGAGACTATAGAGAAAGATGAGGAGAAGCTGGCCAAGGGTTGCAAAGCTTCAGTTCTATGAGATGCTGAGCCCTGGAGCTCCCCTCACAGCTTGGTAATGACAGGTGACAATCTGATGCTGTACACCTGAAATGTGCCAGGAGGAGAGATCATAAGGTGCTATGTTGGGTGATGGATGTGCTAATCAGCTTGATTGTGGTGATTATTCTGCAATGTATACATATATCAAATCCTCTAGTTTGATATGCCATAAACATACACAATAAATACAAAGAAATAAAAATAAAAACAATGATAAAAAAATAAAGTCGAAAGATGTGTGGGCTGGCATGTTGGGAGAATCAGCTCCTGCTAGCCCACGGTGGAGACCAGCAGGGGCCAGCACCTCTCGAGCCCGGCCTTGGAAGCGCCCGTGTCCCCACTGAGCTGCCGAGCAGCCGGTACCCACCTGGAATGACGGGTAGGACTTCATCTGACTGTCTGAGAGGGCCAGCGTGCTCTGCATCAGGTTCTGGAGCACCAGAAAGTGGGTCATCCACACTGAAAGAGAGGGGAAGGCAGGGCACCAAGAGGCCACAAGCACTGCTCGTGTCAGGCGGATGCAATTCTCAGGGAAGAAAACTTGAATCTCACAAAAGGGACACAAACACCGAAACTATTCACAAAAGAAAACACGATAAATGATGGTTTCTAGTCTTTACTAACAGGTCACTTTTCGCAGGAGAAAAGCTTCTATTTAGTGGTTAAGTGGTGACCTACCTGGAACGGGTTTACATGAGAACTAACAAACGTGGTTAGTACTTCTTGTTTCTTTCCTTCTAATTCTAAACAAGTTTTTCTTCAAAGAAAAAAGGTTTCTCGCTGAAATACAGAGCTAAAATCAAAGTGACTGTTGATTTTCCAAGATGGAAAAACAAATCCTGAGCTTTTAGAGCCGAGTTTTGCTTGGAAGGCTCATGGGTTGGGAGTTTAAATCCTTTCCTTAACCTACCTTAAGGCTTGGCCAGTGATACTCCAGGCCAGGGGGGCAGGAAGTTTTCCTCTAAAGGGTCCGATAATGCATGTTTTAGTCGTGGTAGGCTCTGTGGAATCTGTTGCAAATAGAGCTGACACTTCTGCAATGCGGTCTCAACTGTGCGGATTCCACTTATACATGGACTTTCTTTCACCTCTGCCAGTCTGGAAACAGCAAGACCAACCCCTTCTCTTCCTGTCCCTTCAGTCTACTCAAAATAAAAACAACAAGGAAGGCTTTTAAGATGATCTACTTCCCCTTAGTGAAGAGTAATTAGATTATCTCTTCCTTATTTTTTTTTGAGAGAGAGTTTCGTTCAAGTCATCCAGGCTGGAGTGCAATGGCGTGATCTTAGCTCACGGCAACCTCCGCCTCCCAGGATCAAGTGATTCTCCTGCCTCAGCTTCCCGACCAGCTGAGCTTACAGTTGCCCGCTATGCCTAGCTAATTTTTGTAGGCGAGGGTTTCACCATGTTGGCCAGGCTGGTCTCAAACTCCTGACCTCAGATGATCTGCCCACTACAGCCTCCCAAAGTGTTGGGATTACAGGTGTGAGCTGCCGTGCCTGGCCTCTTATTTTTTCAAGTTTCTTTTCTCTAGCTTATTTTATTGTAAAGTATATAGAGAGTACAGTATATAGTACATATACAAAGTATGTATTAATCAGCTGTTTGTTATTGATAAGGTTTTTGGTCAACAGTAGGCTATCAGTGGTTAGGCTCTAGGGAGTCAGAAGTTCTATGTGGGGCCAGGCATGGTGGCTTTACGCCTGTATATTAATCAATTGATTGTTATTACTAAGGCTTCTGGTCAACAGCAGGCTATCAGTGGTTAGGTTTTAGGGAGTCAAAAGTTATACATAGGGCCAGGAGTGGTGGCTTACACCTGTAATTACACCACGTTGAGAGGCCGAGGTGGGTAGATCACTTGAAGCTAGGAGTTCAAGACCAGCCTGGCCCCACTGCACTCCAGCCTGGGTGACAGAAACAGACTCTGTCTCAGAAGGAACAAAAAGTTCGATATGGATTTTTGATTGTACGGGGGTCGGTGTCCTCTAACCCCCAAGTTGTTCAAAGGTCAACTGTACTCACCTCTGATGTTCTCACATAAAAGCAGTGTAGACAACGTATAGACCGGGCATGGCTGTGGCAGTAAAACTCTTAACACAAACAGGTGGTGGGTTGGATTTGGCCCTAGAGTAACAGGCCCAGTGCAATAGGTTGTCAGACACCAAGTTAAGTAGCTGGGGAAAAGCGACTGTATATACCCGTACTTGCCTGTTAAGTTCATCCTCTTTCCTTGTCTGATCTTTTTCATCTCCAAAACTCGGTACCTGCAAAAGAAATCTAAGAGTGTGCCAGTGAGACAAAGCAGCTCCTCACTCACCAAGTGGATGCTAGTTCAAGATGGCCACGTATTGGCTCGGGTGTTGGGAGCGGGAGAAACGTTAAACGCACCAAAAGTCAAGCGCTGTGCATGTGAATTAAACAAGAATATACCCCGTTCTGCCTGTTATAAAAAGGAGGGCTGAGAGAATGTGAAATGTTCACTTACTGACAATTATGTGGCAACACGAAAAAAATGTGAATTGGCAAAGATCCACGGTTAATTGTTAAAGAAACAGAATTTAAAGCTGTGAGTGTGTTAGAATACAAAAACAAACAAACAACAGCAAAAACAAGCACAGGGAAGAAGCCTGGAAGAAAATGTCCTGGAAATAATATAAAAAAAATCATTGTCATAGAAACAGGAAAAAGGTGGTTTCCGGAGGCTGGGAAGTGGAAGGGAAGGAATGAAGAAAGGAGAGATGCTGAGCAAAGTTTGTAAACTTAGTTAGACCAGAGTAATATGTGTTAATGATCTAAAACTGCATGGTGACCACAGTTACATATTTTGAAATTACTAAGTAATAGATTTTTAACATTCTTACTGCCAAAAAAAGAAGTTGGTGAGATGACAGATATGTTGGTTGACTTGATTTCGTCTTTCCTCAATGGACACATATATCAAAACATCACACTGTACCCCACAAATATACAAAATTATTATTCATCAATTAAAACAAAGAAATATGAAAATCCCCAAAGAGTAGCTCTGTCTGTTATACAACGGGCCATCACCAGTATTATCAACCGGACACCATCTCGATTGTTGAAGGAAATAATCTTAGTGGATGATTTCAACTCAAATGGTGAGCAACATGATAAAGAATAATTGTAAAAATCATCACTTGTCATCTGTTCTTGGCTGGAAAGAGGTTTGGCTTACAGTTTAGGACACCCTGGGTTTCTCTTGTAGGGAAAATAAAAAGATTATTAGTTGAGGGTCTATTTGTGCTAGTCACATTTAATCTTCACAAAGTCAAGACAGAGGATAATTATCTCAATTACACAGATGAGGAAACTAAGACTTTGAGAGATCACACAGCATGCTTAAATTGGACTGCAAGCCAGTGGCAGAGCTGGGAGTTAGGCCAGGGCTGTGTGCCTCCAAATCTACCTGCGCCCCTCCCAGTCACCACGAAGGAGACTGTCGGGTGAAACAGAGTCTAGAGGAGGACCCTAGATGCCAGGAAGGGACTTAGAGTTGCTCCTTATGAGAAATAGACCACTCTTCCTGGATCACTAAGCCTGGAGAAAACAGAGCTTTGGGTGGTGACTCTTCAAAATGGCAACCGCTCTTGCCCACAGGGTGCCCCCTGCCCTGAATCTAGCCCACCCAAGGAAGAGACGTGGAAGACAGTGGACCTCAGTCCTCATTTTTTGAGTTTATAATCCAGGCTTCTTTTTTATAAGTGTTATATCCTTGGGTAACTCAACTTCCTCATGCTCTGGTTTTCTTACACACAAAATATGAATGTTGACAATGACTGTTTTATGAACTATAGTGAGAATTAAATGAGATCATCATGGCAGCTAACATTGCTTGTTCTAAGCACCTTATATGTATTAACTATTTTAATCATTACAACAACAATATGAGGAAGGAACCACTTTTTGACCCATTACACAGATGCACAAAACTAAGGCATGGACTGATCAAGGAACTCGTTCAATATCCCGCAGCTGGTAAGTGACAGAATTGAAATTTGACCATAAACTTCAGAGTCCTGAGCCCTAGTTCTAAACACTATGTTCCTTTTATAATACTATGGGCTGGGTGCAGTGGCTCATGCCTGTAATCCAGCACTTTGGGAGACTGAGGCGGGTGCATCACGAGGCTTGAGACCAGTCTGACCAACATGGTGAAACCCCGTCTCTACTAAAAATATAAAAATTAGCCGGGCGTGGTGCTGTGCACCTGTAATCCCAGCTACTCGGGAGGCTGAGGCAAGAGAATCACTTTAACCCAAGAGGCAGAGGTTGTAGTGAGCCTTGAGTGTGCCATTGCACTCCAGCCTGGGTGACCAAGTGAGACTCCATCTCAAAAAAACCCCCAAACCAAAACCAAAACAAAACCAGAAACCAAAAACCCCAAAACATGAATTATGTAAAGCATTGAGCACGTGGTAGCCTCTCACCAAGTGTTGGCTCTCAGTTTTATTGATTCTGTGCAACAAACAAAAGAGAGCAGAATTAAGTTACGAAAATGTAGAGGTTTGGGCTAGCAGTAAGGAAAAATTTCCTGACTATAAGGGCTATGAAGTGGCAGCTCCTTGGAGGCAGAATATGTTCCTTCTCTGGGGATCTGTAAGTACAGGGTAGGTTATTGTACCTTCAGCCTGTCTCTCAGGAGAGAGAACAAACAGAATGATTGCTTAAACCTTCCTTTCTAGACTTCCACACTAAAAATACTTACCTTCATCCTTTGCATATCTTCCTCTCTTGTACTTCCAATGTAACTAAACAAAAAATAAGAAGGTACAATTCTTGGAGTAAAATTCCACTGAAAACCAGAGAAAAGAGACAGGTTTCATTCATTTCTGGGCATGGAGACTGTTAGCAAGTTGCACATCCGGTTTTCTGAGACAAAAACAGGAGCTTGACTAGAAAGACCTTTGCCCTGGGCTTCTGAAGACACTGGCTCTGCTCCCTGGCAGAGACGACCTTAGGCAAGTCCCCTCACCTCTTTGGGACTCAGGGTCTTCACGAGGCAAATGCAAGGGTTGAGCTGGAATACTGTGAATGATATCTTTTTCTGTGAAAAAAAAAAAAAAAAATCAGTGAGCTTATACCTCTATGTTCCATGGGGTATAGATATGACTTAATTTAGGACTTTTTCCTGTGGAACAATAAAATTAAAAAAATGCAAGATTACAAACACAGGGTAGACACATAAAGCAAAACCAAGGCTGGGCGTGGTGGCTCATGCCTGTAATCCCAACACTTTGGGAGGCTGAGATGGGTGGATCATGAGGTCAGGAGTTCAAGACCAGCCTGGCCAACATGGTGAAACTCCATCTCTAAAAAATAAAAAAAGGAAAAAAAAAAGAAAATGAAAGCTTTCTTATTGTTCTAAATTGCACTCCATCATAACACATTCTTTGGGTCTGAAACCCATTTTTGTTTTCCACAGAGATGATTTGTTTGGATGGTCACAGAAGAGGGGACTGTCGGCCATTCTCTGGTGTTACAGGGACAGGAATTAGAGAGTCTCTCTCATTAACCACGAAAACACCAGCCAAATTGGGCCTGCACTGAGCACAACTCTAATATCTGTTTTGTGTTAAACGGGAAAATAAATGGAACTCTTTACTATGCATATCAAAAGAGAAACTCACTATCCATGTGAATTTGGGGGCAACTGACTCAACTACTTCACACCTCAGTTTCTGCATCTGTAACATCAGGAAATAATGGTGTCTACCTGGTAGGACCAGTTTTGGGATTAAATCATGTGTGCAAAGGGCTCAGGAGAGAGCCTGTTCCCATTACATGCTAGCTAGTGTTCTGCTCCTCACCTATTGCCTATCTTGGTATTATTTGTAGTACTTTTGAAATGCCACAACCTGGTGCCAGAGGTTTGCCTCTTTTCTGTCTTTCCCTAAGCTTTATTCACATCACTCAAATGTTTTGAGCTCAAATGTTAAATGCCACTCAAATGTCAGGTGAGATCTAAGCTAGAAATTATATCAAGGTGGGTGGAATGCTGTATTTTCTCCCTCATTTTAGGAAAATTACACAATCAACAACTACATGCTGAGTTTCTACCATGAGCCAGGCACTGGGCAGGGAAAAGGATGTCAGAGAGTTCAAGAAGTTTCCATCTTAATTGATGAGGCAAGACAATCTGTGGAAAGATATGTCAATGTGTGGAGAATAATGTGACCAACCAAGTGAACTGTCAGTGAGCATCAGAAAGCACAGAGAGGGGGGTGTGATGATCTAAGGGGGCTTCCTGGAGGAGATGGGCTTGCATTGGGACTTGAAGGCTTCATAGGATTTGAGACAGCAGAGGAAATGAAGGAAGACTCAGAAACTGGGTTGGGGTGGAGAACTAGGGAGTGCAGAAAGAATGGTGTGAACAAAAATGAGGAATCCAGAAGCACCCTGAGCTGACCAGCTTGAAATAACAAGTTTGGGGAAGAGTCCAGTAGGAGGGCAAAGTTGGGAAGGGAGCATAGGTTGTCTTCAGAAGACCCGTTGAGGCATCCTTAATTTTTGTGCTATATGATAGACATTATTTCTCAGGAGATGACTCAGAATAGACGATCGTAAAAATTTGGAGTTGGAAGGATCATGAATATCTGGTACTTTTCTTATATATATATATTTTTATTTTTTTTTTTTTTTTTTTTTTTTTTTTCTAAAAAAGAGTCAGAGTTTCACTCTGTTGCCCAGGATGGTCTTGATCTCCTGGGCTCCGACAATCCTCCGTCTCGGCCTCCCAAAGTGCTGGAATTACAGGCATGAGCCACCATGCCCATCATGGTACTTTCTTCTTAAGTTGAGAAAACAGACACATCTAATGGGAAGTGACACAGAATTATGTAGTGATCAAATTAGAATCTAGATATTCAGGTTCAGTGGCACCTCCTGTGGATTACTGAGTAAAAGTAGTGTCTGGTTAGTTATACAGACTGGCCACCTTGGCTACCCCAGTTTACTCCCAGAGGAAGCAAACAGCCTTAGACCTACTGGCTCTGTTTAGCACCTTCAATAATTGAGACAATCACTCTTGACTGCAGCAGATCTAAAATGGGGCAAGTTTTACTGCCAGAGTCACGTAGGTGATGATTCCAAGTCTTGAGCACTGTAGATCTCACAAATATGCTCTTCTTTTGAGAGAGGAGCCAGGAAGAATCTCATTCCTTGGCTATGAGATTCTATGGGGAGAGAGATGGAGGGAGGACTTGATAAACCCAACCAGGTACTTACAGCGTTCTTGAGACAATGTGTCCCGGTAGCTAAAGACAGCATAGGCTCATGTCCAGGGCATGCCACTTACTAGATATGTGACTCGGAAAAGTTTTTAAAACTCTTTGTGCCTCACTTTCTTCATCTGTACAGTGGGGATATTGTAGTGCCTACCACATGAGATTCTTTCAGAATTAAATTAATTGATTTTATCAATGAGTAACTCAGAGTCATTTGGTTAGATATTTTGCATGCCGCTCAGTGATTTGCATTCAGGTTGTTTTCTTACACGTGAGGAAGTCAGCGGTAGGCTGAGCCAAAGAGCAAAGCCGTAGACAAGCTTTATTAAAAGAGAGGGAAGAGAGGGAAGAAAACCACCTGTAAACAGTCCAGGAAGAGTGAATCTTGTTTGCATAATTTTTGACCTAAATTCACTAGCCAGAAGCTGGCAAAGAGATTAATCTGTGCATTCTGTCCCAGTTGGTCCTTCAGTAGGCCAACTGGGAATATCTAAAACAAAACAATTTTAGTCATTTATGGATTTTCCAGAAAGTCTTGAGAGTTTAGTTAGGAAGATGTTCCAGGCTTTCCCGCAGCGTTTTCCATCAGCCTCTGTATCTTAGTTAGGCTAGTTCTGTCCTACTCATTCTCTCAAGAACTTCTCAATGTTAAAAAGCACCTGTGACAGTGCCTGACATGTAGTAAGCAGTATTATCATTCTAAGATAGTTTAACTGTGAGGGAAAGGAAATTAGGAATGATCACAGTACACTTCAGGCGGAAGGGAGAAGAGAGGCAGGCACAGGGGAAATACTACTATTCTAGTTGACTCTTCGAATTGCCCATTTCATGCTGGAGGTAGTCCAGCCACTATTATAGAATAGTATAAAACTTCTGTACCACATTGATGATTGCACTCAGGATTTTTACAGGTGTGCACTTGGTTGACAGGAGAACTAAAGGTACACTTGGATGAGAAGATTAAACTTTACAATCAGAAGTATCCGGGACTACTGAAAATAATATGGCACCCTGAGAGGAAAGGTCTTGCTCAAGCCCTCAACAGTGGCTGGGAAGCTGCCACAGCAGATGTGGTCGTCATTTTGGGTGCTCACATTGAAGTCAATGTTGGATGGTAAGGCTCAAGGAGGCTGATTCTTCTGGAAAGGGCAGAGAGGAGATCTTGGGCATGTATTAAACACAAGACAGGATACTGTGGACATAGGGAAAGTCAGCACCAGACCTTAAACAAAGGGATACTCCAAAAGAGCATGCTTTTATGCAGGCATTTTGCTTGGCTAGAAGAAGTAGCATGGTGGAGAGTATTGACAGTTGGATCATAACTCTGACTTTGTCAAATACTTTGTGAATTTGAATACGTCACTTCACTTAACTAGACATTGTATCTTTAACTGTAAAGATGAAGAGATTAGCCTCTGTTTATTTTAAAGATCTTTCCCCAGCCCTGAAATGACACGATATGGTAAAGTGAGCTATGTTCTTTAGAGAAAGCGGAGAATCAGACAGGAAAGAAGCATCATTTTGGAAACAGGGCGAACCAAGAGGTAATGTAAATTCAAGGAGTAATATAAATACTGATAATCCTGCTTCACAATGGCCCGAGGGTTCTCCTTGGGTACTAATTTCAAACCTGCTCTTGACACGGGTTGGCTGCTGGCAACCTCGGCTACCTCAAAAGGAACAGAGATTCTCTGGACTCTGGAGAGTTCTACTCACAACTTAGCACAGCCTAAATGGAGGAGGTGCTCAATGTTAGGGCAAGGTGCTTGGGGCAACTTGCTGCATGCTCTTCTTCTAGGGCAGAGCCAATCTTGGCTCAGATTCAGGAAGACCACACCGTGATTGTGTCTCCTGTGTTTGACAACATTCATTTAGACACCTTTGAACTGGGTAAGTATCAACTGGCAGTTGATGGGTTTAACTGGGAACTCTGGCACCTCCATAATGCACTGCCACAAGCCTGAATTGATCTGCCTGATGTCACTGCCCTAGTGAAGTAAGTCTGAGCAGGTTCAGGGAACGTGGTAGTGTCTGGGAAGGCAGGGATGAACTGCATGGATTTTGTTTATCTGTGGTGGTAGTAATTGGGGTGAGGTGGAAGGAAGGGAGGGGTTGAGGTAAAGGACAAGGGATAGAGGGAAAAAAACTCCAATGAGTTGTCCCAGTTAAGAAATTACAGACATATTGGGCTATTTAGGGACTTTGAGGCAAAAATCAAGCCTTCATAGCCTGCTAATGCTTGGCCCAAATTCTCTCCAAAATTTAAAATTCTTTTAGTTATTTTAAAATGAAAATTTTCCAAAATTTAAAATTTTGGAAAGTATTTGGGCCATTTCAAGCATTAGCAGGCTATGAAGTAAGGATATCTAGATGAAAAAGATGTAATTTCAATATATTTTGAGAAGGGTGATGATAACACAGTGGGCCAGGGAAAGCTACATGCACTTAGTTCAGCCTGAGGGTTTAGGGAAGGCCTTCATGATAAGGATAGACTTAGGTAGAGTTCTGAAGCCCAGGTAATCATTGAGCATCCCACCCCTCACCTCCATTCCTTGTGGAGAGATTAGTGACTCTTGCTGTGTGCTCTGTAGGAGTCCTTCAATCTTGGGCATCTTGGCTGCTAACAGGCTCTTCCTGGGAGAGATCAGGTCTCTGGATAGTGGAATGCTCATCTGTGAGGAGAGAACATGGAACTTAGCCTAAGGGTGGATACATTTCCTTTCACTTTATGGGACAAAGTAGAAATGGAAATAGAAAGGTAGAAGGACCCCTTGTTCTAGGATTCTGGAATAGACTCAAGGTGGATACAGTCTCATGTTTCCAAGTGATGGGACCAAGGATGGGGGCAATGGGACTTCTGGAGTGGACACTCCTGATACAGCCTTTATAATCTGGGAGGTATGGTGGGAAGCGGTCAAGTTGGGATTGAATAGATGTCCCTATTTCACTTGAGGACTCTGGATTCTTTCCAAGTATCTCCTGAGATAAACCAACCTTGGAGAAGACAACTTTCTAGAAGGCCAAAGACAGCAGAAACAGGAGTGGGCAACATGCTCAGGGAATGCAGATGTGTGGGCAGCCAACCTGCTTCTGTACTGAGCAGCTGACATGATGGCCTGAGTGTGTGCTGAGATATAGTCTAATCTAAGACAAATAGTCAGGTTTTTATCATCATATCATTGAAATTCTCAAACCCAGCCAGTTAAGGTGGCTCACACCTGCAATCCCAACACTTTGGGAGGCTGAGGCAGGCAGATCGCTTGAGCCCAAGAGTTTGAGGCTGGCCTGAGCAACATAGTGAAACCTTGTCTCTATTAAAAAAGCAAGAAAAAGAAAAAACAAATCCTCAAACCAGTGCTAGTTCGACCAACTTCTGTGTGTCTGTAAAAATGCTGGCTTCATGCTTCAGCAGTGATGCCTCTCTTCTGCTCCTGACAACTTCCCATGCTTGTTTAGGTCAAATGGACAACCCGAATTAAAAAAAAATTAATTTTAATTTTTTGTGAGTATAAGTGTATGTATTTAGGGCATACATGTGATGTTTTGATACAGGCATGCAATGAATAATAATCATGTCATGGAGAATGGGGTATCCATCCCTCAAGCATTTATCATTTGTGTTACAATCAATCCAAGTATATCCTTTTAGTTATTTTAAAATGCAAAATTAAATTATTATTAACTATAGTTATCCTATTGGGCCATCAAATCGTAGGTCTTATTTGTCTTATTCATTCTTTGTAACTACTACTTTTGTACCCATTAACCATCCCCATCTCCCCCAACTAACCTTGTAACCATCCTTCCGCTCTTTATGTCCATGGGTTCAGTTGTTTTGACTTTTAAATTTCAAATGTAAGTGAGAAATACAGTGTTTTTCTTTCTGTGCCTGGCTTATTTCACTTTACATAACGATCTCCAGTTCCATCCATGTTGTTGCAAACGACAGAACCTCATTCTTTCTTATTATAGCTGAATAGTACTATATTGTGTATATGTACTACATTTTCTTTATCTATTCATCTGTTGACGGACACTTAGGTTGCTTCCATATCTTGGCTGTTGTGAATGATGCTGCAACAAACAAAAGAGTGCAGCTATCTCTTTGATATATCGATTCCCTTTCTTTTGGGTATATACCCAATAGTGGGATATTGCTGGATCATATGGTAGCTCAATTTTTAGTGTTTTTTTTTTTTTTTTTTTTTTTTTTGGAAGCTACAAATTGTTCTCCATAGTGGTTGTACTAATCTACATTCCTACCAACAGTGGACGAGGGTTCCCTTTCTCCACATCCTCTCCAGCATTTGTTATTGCCTATCTTTTGGATATAAGCCATTTTAAATGGAGTGAGATGATATCTCACTGTAGTTTTGATTTGCATTTCTCTGATGATCAGTGATGTTGAGTATCTTTTCACATGGCTGTTTGCCATTTGTACGTTTTCTTTTGAGAAATGTCTATTCAAATCTTTTGCCCACTTTTTGGTTGGATTATTTTTACCTATAGAGTTGTTTAAGTTCCTTACATATTCTGGTTATTAATTCCTAGTCAGATGAGTGGTTTGCAAATATTTTATCCCATTTTGTGGGTTGTCTGTTCACTTTGTTGATTTTATCTTTTGCTGTGCAGAAGCTTTTAAACTTGATGTTATTCCGTTTGTCAATGTTAGCATTGGATGCCTGTGCTTGTGGGGTATTGATGAAGAAATCTTTGCCCAGACCAGTGTCCTAGAGATTTCCCCCATTTTTTCTTATAGTAGTTTCATAATTTAAGGTCTTAGATTTAAGTCTTTAACCGATTTTCATTTTATTTTTGTATATGGTGAGAGATATGGACCTACTTTCATTCTTCTGCATATAAATATTCAGTTTTCCCAGCCCCATTTATTGAAGAGACTGTCTTTTCCCCAGTGTATGTTCTTGGCACCTTTGTCAAAAATGAGTTCACTGTGGGTGTATGGATTTGTTTCTGGGTTCCTTATTCTGGTTCATTGGTCTATGTGTCTGTTTTTATGCTAGTATATTGCTTTGGGTAGTATGGACATTTTAATAATATTAATTTTTTCAATCCGTGAACATGGAATATCTTTCCATTTCTTGGTGTCCTCTTCAATGTTTTTTATCACTGTTTTATAGTTTTCATTATAGAGATTTTTTTTTCTGCTTTGCTTAATTCTTAGACATTTAATTTTATTTGTGGCTATTGTAAATGGGGTTACTTTAAAAAATGTCTTTTCAGATTGTTCACTATTGGCATACAGAAATGCTATTGATTTTTGTATGTTGGTTTTCCATCCTGCAACTTCACTGAATTTATCAGTTCTAATAGTTTTCCTTTGCGTGTGTGTGGAGTCTTTAGGTTTTTTTTCAATAAAAGATTATGCCATCTGCAAACAAGGATGATTTGAACTTCATCCATTCCAATTTGGATGCCTTTATTTCTTTTTCTTGTCTGATTGCTCTAGCTAGGACTTTCAGTAGTACATTGAATAACTGTGGTGAAAATGGGCATCTTTGTCATGTTCCAGATCTTAGAGGAAAGGCTTTCAGTTTTTCCCTATTCAGTGTGATATTAGCTGTGGGTTTGTTGTATATGGCTTTTATTATGTTAAGGTATGTTTTTTTCTATACCTAGTTTTTTTGAGAGGTTTTAAATTGTGAATAGATGTTGAACTTTATTGAATCCTTTTTCAGCATCAATTGAAATGATCACCTGGTTTTTGTCCTTTATTCTGTTGATCTGATGTTTCACATTGATTGATTTGCATATGTTGAACAATCTTTACATCCCAAGGATAAATCCCACTTGGTCATGATGAATGACCTTTCCAATGTATTTTCGAATTCAGTTTGCTAGTAATTTGCTAATATTTTGTGCCAATATTCATCAGAGATATTGGCCTATAGTCTTCTTTTCTTTTCTTTTCATGTGTCTTTGTCTGGTTTTAATATCAGGGTAATATTGGCCTCATAGAATGAGTTTGAAAGTATTTCTTTCTCTAATTTTGGAAAAGTTTAAGTAGGATGGTATTAGTTTTTCTTTATATGTTCAGTAGAAATCAGCAGTGAAACCACTGGGTCCCAGGTTTTCCTTTACTGGAAGACTTTTTTTTACATCTTTGATCTCATTATTTGTTATTGGTCTGTTCAGGTTTGGGATTTTTGTTTTCCCGGTACAACATTGAACCAGGTTCAATGTGTCTAGGAATTTGTCCATTTCTCCTAGATTTCTCAATTTATTGGCATATAGTTTCTTATAGTAGCCACTAATGATCCTTTGAATTTCTGCAGTATCAGTTGCAATTTTTCATTTCTGATTATGTTTATTTAGATATTCTTTTTTTCTTAGCCTTGATAAAGCTTTGTCAATTTTGTTTAACTTTTCAAAAAACCAATTTTTTGTTTCTTTGATTTTTTTGTATTTTAATTACAATTTTATTTATTTATGCTTTGATCTTTATTATTTCTTTTCTATTTTTTAACTTTCATTTTAAGTTTGAGGGTACTAGCGCAGGTTTGGTATATTGGTAAACTTGTGTCATGGGGGTTTATTGTACAGATTATTTCATTACCTAGGCACTAAGCCTAGTCCCCATTGGTTACTATTTCCTGACCTTCTCCCTCCTCCCACCCTCAACCCTCCAAAAGGCCTCAGTGTGAGTTGTTCCCCTCTTTGTGTCCATGTGTTCTCATCATTTAGTTTCCACTTAAAAGTAAGAACATGTGGTATGTGGTTTTCTGTTCCTATGTTAGTTTGCTAAGGATAATGGCCTCCAGCTGCATCCATGTCCTTGCAAAGAACATGATCTCAGTTTTTATGGCTGCATAGTATTCTATGACGTATATGCACCACGTTCTTTATCTGGTCTATCATTGATGGGCATTTAGGTTGATTTCATGTCTTTGCAATTGTGAAGAGTTCTACAATGAACATACACGTGCATGTGTTGGTATAATAGAATAATTTGTGTTCCTTTGGTAGATATCCAGTAAAGAGATTGCTGGGTTGAATGGTATGTCTGTCTTTAGCTCTTTGGGAATCACCACACTGCCTTCTGCAATGGCTGAGCTAATTTACACTCCCATCAACAGTGTACAAGCATTCTTTTTTCTTTACAACCTTGCCAGCATGTAATTTTTTAACTTTTTTTTTTTTTTTTGATATGAGGTCTTGCTCTGTCACCCAGGTTGGAGTGCAGTGGTGGGATGTTGGCTCACTGTAACCTCTGTTTCCCAGGTTCAAGCAATTCACCTGCCTCAGCCTCCTGAGTAGCTGGGATTACAGGCATGTGCCACCACACCCAGTTAATTTTTGTATTTTTAGTAGAGACAGGGTTTTACCATGTTGGCCACACTGGTTTCAAACTCCTGACCTCGTGATCTGCCTCCCTCAGTTTTCCAAAGTGCTGGGATTACAGGCATAAGCCACCATGCCTGGCCAGTTTTTTGACTTTTTAGTAATAGCTACCTCATTTCAAACTATGCTACAGAGCTACAATAACCAAAACATCATGGTACTAGTACAAAAACAGACCCATAGACTGACGGAACAGAATAGAGAACCCAGAAATAAGACTGCACACCTACAACTATCTGATCTTCAACAAATCTGACAAAAACAAGCAATGGAGAAAGGATTTCCTATTCAATAAATTGTGCTGGGATAACTGGCTAGCCATATGCAGAAGATTGAAATTGGACCCATTCTTTACACCATATACAAAATTAACTCTAGATGGATTAAAAATTTAAATGTAAAA